AATTTTCCTTTAAAAGAGGTCTGTACATTACTTACATTTAAGAACATTCCTCACGACAATTCCATGAGGTAGTTATTATTCCCCTCATTTTACAGATATAGGAGCTGAGACTATGGTCATGTAGCAAGTCGCTAGTGAAACTGAAACTTGAACCCAGGTTAGCCGAAGCTCAAAGTCTGTGCAGCCTCGCTTGGAGTGGGGAAAGATGGTATATGGGAGGTGTGAGGGGTGAGGTGGGTGGTGTGAGGGCCACGGAAAGCCAGAAGGCAAGCTGGGGGCTTCATGGTATTCAAAAAGCAGGAACAAGGAGCTAGGTGGGCTCAGAAAGTGAAATAGGACAGGAAGTTTGGTCAGGGGCCCTCCAATGCAGCCCAAAGACACCTGAAGATGCATCCATTCCTTCTCTACAAAGCCCTGCTGGCTGCCAAGGATATAGAGATAAATAAGACCATGTGCACCCTCTCTTCAAGGAGTCTATAGTCTTGCTACTATCTCTTAAAGGATGTCTGCCCGTAAGAGGGCTGATTTGAAGTCTACAGATCTCCAATGTCCTGCCAATGTCTACCCCTACCCCTACCCCTAACTCAGCAGAAGTTGTCCCAGTAACTTTTCAGTCCAGTGGAGCAATGTCTACCCACACTCTGCCCCTCTCTGCTAGAAAACAGAAAGGAAGGGAAGAAGAAAAATGCAGAAGCAGCAAAGAGTTCTATTCAGTTCATTCAAGAAATATTTGTGGTGTACCTACCACAGTAATGGAGCTATGCTGGGTGTTGTGGGGCATAAATGATCCAGTTCTTGCCCTCAAAGGGTTTCTAGTCGTAACCACAATAACTGCAATAAACACTCAAGACAATGCTTACCTAGCCAGGCACTGTTCTAAATGCTGTACATAGATCAACTCATTGAATCCTCATCATGGCTCTATAAGGTAGGTATTATTATTATCCTCATTTGACTGGGCCACAAAAAAAGTTAAGCAATTCATCCAAGATTACACACACACACGAGTAAGGGTAAGGTCAGGAATGGCACGCAAGCATTCTGGCTCCAGAGGCCCCCATGCTCTTACCTACTACACTGTAACATATAGTAGTTGAATGTTGGCCTTAAGACAGTGGGATTTAATTGAATGATGAGACCACCAGCAGATTCCCCACCACCGTCCCAACCCTCAGCAGGGTGTTGCAAAGAGCATGGACTTTGCAGTCAGGCATGGGGGCAAATCCAGGCCTGAGAGCAATACTTGTCAGCCTCAGTTTTCATGTCTCTAAAATGGTCATAATAAAAACCAGGCTATTGGGGCGCCTGGGTGGCTCAGTTGGTTAAGCGACTGCCTTCGGCTCAGGTCATGATCCTGGAGTCCCAGGATCGAGTCCCGCATCGGTCTCCCTGCTGTCAGCAGGGAGTCTGCTTCTCCCTCTGACCCTCCCCCCTCATGCTCTCTCTCTCTATCTCATTATCTCTCAAATAAAATCTTTAAAAAAAAAAAAACCAGACTATTTTCAGATTAAATGGAATAACATATACACAACTTTCAATTAGTAAATACTAATTCACTGCTTACTGTCAAAACCTAGCTCCCTCTTCCTGGTTCAGTTCAGTGTCTTCCCAGACACCGCCTGCCCATCCTCCTCTGGGAGAGAGATGCAAGGAAGAAAGGGATTAATGAAGAAAAGGACCAACAGCTTTACTTATTTTGCTGGGACTTCACTCTCTGAAACTTTGGACACATCCCTGGTGACTCCTGAAGGTCTGCTCTGTCCTGCATTTGCAGGAGAGGCTTTTCTAACTTAGAATACAGACCAGCAAGGTGAATGGAAGGTTGCTGAAGCAAGAAAATACACATGGGGCAAATGGTCAGTAATCTGTACTATTTCATCAGACAACTGGGACAAAGAAGAAACAGAAAATTTACTGACATTTTTTTTTTCCTAAACGCTCACACATAAAGATTTTACTTTACCTCGTGTTCTCAGAAACACTCCAGACATGTTGAATAAGCTCTGTTGAACTTTAAAATAGAAAAAGGATTAACTGGGGTGTGTGTGTTTGGGAGTGGAAGTGCAGGGATGGGAGTAATTCAGGAAAAAATAAGAGTATTCAGTTCAGGCGCCTGGGTGGCTCAGTTGGTTAAGCGACTGCCTTCGGCTCAGGTCATGATCCTGGAGTCCCTGGATCGAGTCCCGCATCAGGCTCCCTGCTCGGC